GCGAAGTGAAGTAGACTTGCATTAGATGAAACAATCTCTATAAAGCTTATTCCACAAAATCTTAGTTAATCTTTGAGGTGCCACAAGTGTGTGTGTGTGGGGGGGGGAGGGGACGACGGATAAATCTCCTAGAATAACTCAAAAGTGCAGCTGTTGCAATCATTTTTTTTGTTATTAATCCTGTTCATTTATTTAATTTGTTCTTCCTCTTAGTTGTTTAGCATGATATATCTAATTCCTGTTCCACTCATTTATCCTGGCACAGTCTTGTGAGGCAGTCTTACAATGAGAGATAGTAACCAGCTTAAGCTGGATAACCCAAATATTTTACTGTGGTCCTGTTATTTATGCGTGTGCTTGTGTGTCCTGTGAACAGCTAATCTCTTTTTGAAAGTAATATATGAAATGAAAGTAATGTTCATACATCTCAAATTTCTTATTATCTTTAAAACACGGTGGTGTTGTGCGGTGGTGTTGTGCCTTGAATTTCAGGGATGGGACCCCAGACTTATAACATAACCATAAATTTTCTGAATATTAAGATACATGTATTTTAGTGAAATAATGACAATCTTTTTCTAATGTCTGGGGAATCAGTCTGAGAGCACTTTTTATATCTGTCTTACATATGTTTAAAGGAATGAATGCTTATTTGCAAATTAATACCATGTGTGAACATATGAGAAAAATAACGCATTGGCTTACTTATTAAATAGATTACTATACATTTTCATACATTTACTTATTAAAATTATTATGGATGTGTAACATTACAATAAGTATATATTGTACTTTTTTTCAAAACAATTAAATATATGCATAATTTTATGATTATCAATACAATTCATATTTTTCTTGCCTAAGTGAGAATTTTAATTTAGGTGTGTCCCTGAAAACAGAATGATGATTTTGGAGTTACATCTTCTTTTCGATTTTAATCTGACATTATTGAATTTTATTTTATTTATTATTTATTGTTATGCATACATATTATCATATTTGGGGGGAAGTAAAAAATGAAAATGATGACTTACCTCTATGTCATCTAGGGTGGACTCTTCATCTTTCCATATGAGGTTGTGACTATTTCACACACATTGGTGACTTGTCACTTGGGTAATTGCCGGTTCTCAAGGGATGACTTGAAAGTGTGAAAGATCATACTCTACAACAGTGGTGGCGAACCTATGGCACGGGTGCCAGAGGCGGCACTCAGAGCCCCCTCTGTGGGCACGTGCGCCGTCGCCCCAGTCCTAGGCCTTCAGCTGGGTTTTATAAAACCTTTTCGCTTTAGGCCTCCGCCGCTGTG